GTTTGGGGGGTTTCTCAGCACGGAGGGTTATCATGATGATGAGGGGTGGGGGGGGGAGGGGGGGGGGGAAGGGGGGGGGAAACGATTTTCTTTTATGCCAAAACGGGGGGAGGGTGGGGGAAAAAGAGGGCAAAAAACACAATAAGAAGCGCTCATGCGGGAGCTCTAAACAACGCCAGATGTTATTCTTCCTCCCTGTTATTTCCTCCCTTCCACCCCCGACCTGGGAAAGGCATTCCGACGACCAAGCCTCCGGCGCCTGATTCGGATAAGGCCTTTTTCGCGCGCACTGCCATGCCGCAGGAGGTTGCGGTGGTTGGGCTATTGTCGTACCTGGCGTACCTGGCGGCGGAGGTACTGGGTCTGTCCGCCATCCTCTCACTCTTTTGCTGTGGGGCCACCGTCTCACACTTTGCTCTGCGGAACGGCGCCGGGGGCGGTTTCGATTACCTGGGGCCCGCCAGGGGCAACGGACACCGCGGCCTTAATAGCCTGGGAAGCAGCGGCGGCGGCGGCAGCGAGCTGCCAAGCGCTGACGTGTCATTGCACGGAGGCGGAGGCGGCGCGCCGTTGGAGGCTAACGGCGACGTCGGGTTGCGGCCGCGGTACGGGTCGTACACGCCCGTTGCGGCGGACGAAGAGGCCGACGGCGGCGGAGGCGGCGGAGGCGGCGGGGGGTTGTTATGGGTGCTGACGGCGCCTGCGAAACGCCTGGCGGCACGCGCGTTGGGCGGCAGCGGGGGCGGTTGTATGAGTCCCGCCGGGGCTACCAGCACCATCAACGCCTTCCGCAGTTTGTCGTACGTGGCTGAGGGCCTTATCTTCCTGTACCTGGGCTTGGACTGTCTGGACCCGGAGCGCTGGAAGGTGAGGTTAGGGGGGTGGGGGGGTGGGGGGGAGAAGGGGGTGCCGGGGGTGCGAGTGTGGGTTTGGATTTGGGGCCCTGCAGGAGGTTTGCAGAGAGGCGCGGGGGGACGGGCTCCGGACGGTCCGGACGGTCCGGTGGTTGCGGGACGTGTCGTACCGGGATATCAGCAAACATCATCAAAGATTTGCACTCAAGGCAGAGCGTGGCCCTCCCCCTCCCCCTCCCCCTCCCCCTCACCCTCACCCTCACCCTCACCCTCACCCTCACCCTCACCCTCACCCTGCACAGGCCTCCTATCCTTGGGAAGCGGTTTGGCTGGTGGGGGTGCTGATGTTGTTCTTACTGGTGAGGACACGCGTGTGTGTATGGGTGTGTATGTGGGGGGGGGGAGAGGAAGAGGAGTTGAGGGGGCGAATGGGTGGTGGAGGGGGCCTGTGTGCGCGTCTGTGTTCGTGTGCGCGTCACGTCACGTCTGCCTCCTCCAGCGGCCACAACGGGGGGCGGGGGGGCGAGGAAATCGTGTCAGGGTTACCCGGGCTGTTGGGGAGTCGCGTCCTTGTGTGTGTGTATGTATATGTGTTTTGGGCTAATTGGCGGTGGTGATGGTGTTATCCGGTGATATGTTGAATATGATGTGAAGGGACAGGAGCAGACACAAGCTACGTACGTACATACATACACATGCACGTATGTAAGAGGAGCCCCCCTGACGGAAAGGGCGGCCCTGCTGCCTCTGAACGCCGACTCTTAGTACAGCCCCCGCTTCCCCCCTCCCCCGTCGGTCGCGCGTTTTAGTTTGGGGGTTTGGGAGGAGCACTTGCATATCGACAGCTTTTCAGTACCAGCTCATCAGCTATTTCTCCAGGCCAGCAGCAAACTTTATATGCCAGCTTTACGACAGCACTGTTTTCCTACTTCTCCGCCGCCTTCACACCTACTTTTCTACACCTACTTCCACTTAGGGTTTGACAATACTACTTTTTCTGCTTTTTTAGTCCTGGCGGCTTAGGTAGGTAGTTCTTAGGTAGTTCTTCCGACATCTTCTTCACTTCGTCATCCCGAGGTCGCGGTCTTCACGGACGCCTTTCGGTCAGTTCTACGTTTGGTACACTCTTGCCCTGGCAGCAGCTTCAATCGTGTGTGGTTCGTCTTTCCCCCCTCCCTTCACCCCCCACCCCCCACCCACCCCCCGGTCGCTCCCCAAGGCCGCACGAGCAGCGAGTGTGATCCCCCTCAGCATGCTGCACAACCTTTACGCGCCGCGGCACCAGCGGCTTACAGGCCGGGACATGCTCGTCATCTGGTGGGTTGGGGACGTGGGGGTTTGGATTGGGGGTTTGGATTTGGATTTGGATTTTGGCGCGGGGAAGGTTGGGGAGGATTACATATGAAACATTGTGAAGCAAAAACAGCTAACGACGGTGTGTGTGGAGGGGGGGGAAACGACCAGGCTGAGGTAGGGGGGAAAGTGGGAGAGCTGTGAGGGATGGAGGGGATGAAGGGACCGAGACCGTATACCTGCTCCTTTCCTCCCCGAGACGGAGGGGAGGATACATACTCACACACATGTACTCTAGCCTTGTACCCTACCTCTGAACAAACGCACAAACACTCTTTCTCCCCCCCCCCCCACACACACACACGCGCGCTCGCACGTTCACACCGACCCACGGGTCACGCTCAGGTGGTCGGGTCTCATGCGGGGAGCCGTCTCCGTGGCGCTGGTCTACCTCAACTTCGACACACTGGACGGATCCGTACCGCCGCCGTTGGAAGATGCGATCATCGCGCCAGGGGGGCCTGCCAGTGGTGGCCGCCGCCGCCGCCGCCGCCGTGGCCGCCGGCTGCTGTACAGCATCGCCGCCGCAACCGACGACGCCGGCGGCACCGCCACCGTCCCAACAGACAACTCTGTCGTATCCTCCGCGTTTGCCGTTGCGGCCGCCCTGGCGGAGGCCGACGAGGAGAGCAATCGGCAACACGCCACCCTGATTGTTTCCACGCTTCTGGTGGTGGTGGCGAGTGTGTTGGTGGTCAGCACCCTCACCAAGCCGCTGTTGCAGGTCCGGTCTGCTGCTGGTTGAGAGAGGGGGAGGAGGGGAGGAGGAGTAAGGGATGTGAATGTGTGGGCAATCGCGGACTGATGTGGGGAGGGAAGCTGGCTCTCCCCTCCCCCCCCTCTCTGGGGCTCCCCATAGGCCGCCTTGACAGCGCCGTCTCGCCGCGCTGTGCATGTGTGTATGTGTGTCACACACACACACACACACACACACACACACACACACACACACACACACACGCGGACGGGGCCCCCAATCCCCAACCCGGCCACCCTCTTCCCTTTCCCCCCCCCCCAGGCCGCCATGGAGGCGGACCCGCGCAAGCCGCCCCTCCAGGTCGGTCACGTCCAGGGTGGGCCTCCGAAACCCTCCACACCGCCAACCCCCTTTCTTCAGATAAGAGGAATAGTACGACTGCCCGCGTGACGTGCGTACATACACTCTCTCTCTCTCTCTCTCTCTCTCTCTCTCTCTCTCTCTCTTATGCGAGCATGTTGTCGCAGCTACGGTCAATCGATGACACCGCCCTGCTGCTGAAAAGACTCTTTCCTGAAAAGCATCTCGCCACCAGCTCCGCCTCTACCACGTCTTACCTCCACCACCCCCGCCACCCCCCCCCACATCCAATTCCTAGCCACGACCGCCACTCGACTCGTCACTGGACCCACTAACCGGTGATATAGGCCCCCCGGCTGCGGTCCCCCCGCACCGCGATGAAGCAAGCTGTCACAGTACGACCTGACCCACCTCTGACGCAAGTCGCAGGTGCTCCGCGAGGCCTTATGTGACCCCTGGGTGGACGCAACCTGGCGCCTAAAGGTCGCGCTCGGCCGCTCGTACCGCCGCTGGGCGAGTACGGCAATCAGCTCTGAAGCTGCCGCTGCAGCCGCAGGCGGCGGCGGCAACGGCGGCAGGGATGCCAGGGGCACCGGGGTGGACGTGGGACCAGCTGACG